TTATGCATCAATAATAGACATTATTATGTTATTTGATTAGTCGTGTAGGTTACAAATCCAAACTAATTTACTCGTGAAAAAGTGTTTAAAAAAAGTATTTATGAACAAATATTTGTCTAGAATAATGAGTTTATAATAAATTATAATTAATATTAAGTCCTTCTAAATATCTCATATTTCACTTTTATTCTTTTAAAAAGAATTCTTTAAAAAATGGTCCTTTTAAAAATTTGCATCCATGCTTTTGGCCTCTCATGCTAAAACCGTCATTAATTCAGTCGTTAAGTAATAAATCATCATCAATTATATCACTAAGTTATAAAAATTATCGCTAAGTTTCAGGAGAGATCAAAAGTGTGGATGCAAAATTTTAAGAGGGTTATTTTTCATTATCTTATTTCATTCTTTTTAGATAATTCTAATTCTTTTTTTAAATATTTATTCAAATAAATTTAAAATTAATATTTAAAAATATAAAAAAGTTGACAAACTTTATGCAAGATAATTTTTTTTTTAATCTATACAATGTTATAATGTTGAAATGCAATTGAAATATTTTACGAAGTGACACCGGATATAATCGGTTAGATTTAGACCATTCTCCCTAGATGAATTTCTCCTAAGAGTGTGAACTATGTGATCCGCTAAGATTTGTTCTATGAAAATGAATTTTTCCTTATAGTTATTCAATATTGTTTGCGCTTAATGATATTCTTTTGTGTACATAATTCGTAGAAAAGATCTTGATAGTAACGAGAGCTAATCATAGATTTGCATACCGAAATCAAATAGGATTGTGGGAATTTTTATGATTTCTAGAGATATGGCATACTAATATGTGGCATGATATTTTTTACATGTGCGAAACCTCCTTGCAATTTTATCAAGTTCAGTGAGATAATTGTAATAACAAATAGGGTTACTCGACGATAAAGTCCTCCAAAATTATTTTGTAGACTAATTATGATTAAAGTGAAATCATTACATGTTCAAGCATGAATACACCCTACTATATGGGTAAATGATTCAAAAAGAGGGTTTAATTGTTTTCCTCATAGATATTCAAACCTTTAGTTTAGTCTAGATACTTTTTTGTAGTTATAGCAAAATCCAATTAATCGCGATGCACACACCCCTCGTTATGATTACCTGTTTTATATATTTTAATAACGATTATAATCTCATAAGTCTTGTCGAATAATGATTATCTCTACGGATATAGTATAAATTTACCAACACTTTGTGATTTTCTTGTTACCAAAAAATATTGCCATCGAACATAATTTTAACACCAACGATCACCTACAATCATATCATGGCAAAAGCCTCTAGGGGTTCCTTGGCCCTGACACTAGGCTATATGGATAAGTGGGGATGTCGGTAAAATTTGGAGTAGGTGAAAGGAGAAAGGTCTTGAAAAACATATTCCTAGTTATTTGCTGCAAATTTGTTTACAACTCCATCATCGAATGAACAATGTTGACCGAACTATACGTGGTATCATCAGTGATCTATCAAAAGTTGAAATTCCACACCGGCACAAAATAAGTTTTGACGTTTGAGATAGACCTAGAAACGTCTCACACCTATTTTTTTAGCACTAGTGGATCTGGTTGAGTTAGATCCCGACTTAGAACCACAAACCATTGGTAACGACAACGACGAAGAATTTCCTATGGACGCAAAAAGATAGGTCGAACTCCAATATCCCAATGGAAATTTTTTCAATGTTGTGGTAAGGGATGGCATTTTGACATTCATCAGAATATGGGCTGACCTACCCAAGAATACGAATGACTAGATTATGCGGTTCTTTGACATTAATGTTTATTTGTTCACTTAGTTCACATAAAAAATTCCTGATATAGACCCTAAGATAGCTTTCCAATCGAAGGTATTCGGTAGAAAAAATATGTTACATGACCTAACACTGTATGAATCAATCACTAGAGAAGGCAAAAGCAACCAAGTGTGTTGTGGAAGATCTACTACAAGTTGGACTTATAAAAAAAACAAACTGCATGACCTTTTTGTTTAACACCGTACTTGTCAATAAGTAAAATAACGAGTGTATAATGTGTGTTGAATATTTGGACCTAAAGAGAGCGTGTCCCAAAGACACTTACCTTTTCCCAAACATAGACTAGTTTGTGGATAACTTGTCTCACTCTAAGACATTATAATTCATGGATGCATATTAAGGGGACAATTAGATATCGATGGATCACAATGACAACTCCAAGAAAATTCTCATGAGCGGAAAAGAAAATTTCGGTTACAAGATGACGCCTTTCATGTTGAATAAGCGACTTCAAATACAAGAGAGGGTGAATTGTGATATTCAGATTTAAGTTTCTTTTCACCAAAATGATTGACTTAAAAAGATTTATGTGAAAAGCTAATATAAGCAGAGAATATGTCGTGGAAAAGATAAATAATAGTGTAAAAGATAAATAACATAAATATAAAGAGATAAAGAAGGAAATACCTCACCAGAGATTATCCTGATTTGATCTAAAACCACACGACCTACTTCAATCCCAAACGTTTTTTCTTGAGATTTCCACAAAAAACAACTTGAGCGTTCGCAAAGGATTAGCCGAAAAACCTAAAACAACTTGATATTTTACACATGATCAACTCAAAAAAATATAAACAACTTGAGATTTCATATAGGTTCAACCCCACAACCATAAAACCAAGAATTTTAGAAGTTTAGCTTATAACCTTCAAATCTATTACAATGACACAAGAGAACTACACTCTTGAACAAACAAATTCAACGTAAATAAAATAACACCATGAATCTCATATGAAGTTTATCACTCTCTCAATACTAAGGCAACGACTAGTGAATAAAACTTATAAAAGACAGAAAACGAATGAGATAGGAGAGGTGTTTTTTCAGAAAAATTGTGTGCTTAAAAGTGAGAAGAACACTCATTTATATAGGAAAATTTGGCAACAATTTATGGGATTTTGTGCTTCTTAACCAATAGGACACCAACCTAATAGATTAGATTAACCTAGAAATTGAAAACCTAATATGTGACATCACATAATAGATTAGAAAGCTTATCTAATTGGTTAGAATGCATTACTTTTGCTTTAATAGATTATATTGAAGGCATAATCAATTAGGCGGTTGAGTTTTGCTTTCCTAATTAATTAAAAGCGTCTTAATTGCTTAATTACTTGCCTGGATTGTTTTAAGAAGTTTTAATAAAAAGATAAGAATGAAATACTTTTGTGTGTTTTTGTGTGTGTGCGCGGCCTTAGTACTGCAAGACTTACTCTTGATTTATTTAAATTTAACTTATTAAAAACTATAAGATAAAACATTAAGCGCAGGATCAGATGAACTTTCATAACTTCATAATTTCAGTTCCTTTTGATTACTTGATTTAACTTTGATTAGCTATTTTAGTTGAAATTTAATTTTAGTTATTTGATTTAAATTTTGATTAGATATTTCAACTTGAAATTGAACACATGGTCGTGTGCTTGCTTCTTTGGCTAATGATGTTTGAGATAATTTTTTTATTGTTCAAGTATCATCATCAAAATCTTTTGAAGATATTAACATGAAAACACATAAAATCACATTTTGGTCTAAAAAATAGAGGTGGATAACTTGTCTAAACTAGACCAGACTTATTAAGTGCATTGGCATCAGATCAATCCAAGGATTCCCTTCTGGGGGCATGGAAAGGAAAATACATATTTGTCGATGACTTTTTCTCATGGATGATGAGATATTAACAACACCATACATAAAAATAGTAGGGCACAACCTTCTAAGTCACATCCCTTTAGATAGTGATATGAATTTAAAACTAATTAAACCCCTCATTTCTTCCCATTTACATATTAATAATTCTATTACTAACTAACCTTATAAGTGAACTTTCCAAAATTTATTATGTTTACAAATTAACTACATCATCAAAGTATTATTGGAACTAGTATAATTGAACTACAACCTTAATAGGGGACTTCATATCATTTATCTACGACCATAAAAAAAAGGTGCATAAATACAACCAAATATAGTCTGACTCATTGAGAATCCTATGTATTCAAACGTGAATTTGTAAAGCAAGCTCCGAAAACTATAAACAAAATTATAAATATCAAAGTCCATCACCCAACATATATTTCAACCAAACACCAACGTCCAGAAAAAAAAACAATGATATTTTAAAGGATTCAATTGTGGTTCTGATGTTGATAAAAAGAATAAAGAAAATTAATCATGGTCATCATTGAGGAAGAAATATATTGAAATATATCAAAAAGTGAAGCTAAGAAGGTTCTGGTATTTAGAGCAAAATAAAGTCAAATTTTAAGATCAATATCAAAGTAAGCGAAGCCTT